GGGTTTCCAGATGTTAACCCTGGATGCTGGTGGTCAGGCACGGGCACAACTCGCAATGGCTTGTGTCCTCTAGGTATAGTGCAAATTCTGAAGACTTCCAGCCCTCCTTACGCATTGATCAGTCAGGTGTATGTACATCACAGACATCAATACCTCATCCAATAAGCAGAGAGAGGCAGTTAGTTTTGTTAGCCTCGGGTCAGGCAGAAGGCAGGGTAGAGATGCACCTTATGGACTAACTAAGTTAAGAAATGCATAGGCTTTCACGAGCCTGAGATCACTTCATTCAGTGCTGTGAAAGGACGCTCCCAGAGCAGTCAGAGAGAGGGCGATTTGAATACAAACGGCAGGGAAGGGAGGGGAGAGGGGGTGCAGTGCTGGGAGAGGCTAACGAGTAATAAATCTGTAGGACAAAGGGGTCGCAGAAGTTAATCCAGGTATTGAGGATAAAAATCCTTGTGTAGACCATATTTAGCACAATCCAGTCTGTAGGTGATTTCTTCCTCCACAATTGTGCCTTGAAGTTGGCTTTTAAAGTTTCCTCGTTTAAGAACAGCCACTCTGAGGGCAGCGATGAAATGTCCAAAGTCCAGGAGTTCTGCCACAGGCTTTTGTGCGTTTTTGGACTGGACCAGTACAGGTGGCATCGCTGAACCAAATCATACGGATTGTAACATCCGCGGTTCATTCGCCTGCACCTCTACCAATATCATGCATGCTTACAGTGCTTTCTGCTGTCTACATGGGACAGACTGGGGCATTCCCTCTGCGAAAGAATCGGGGGCCCTAATCTGACATCAGGTCCAGAAACGCACATCCTTTCCCAGCATCTGATGAAATGAGCTCCAGTTTACGCAAGCTGACGCATCTCTGATTTATTTAAAAGGTGGATTTCTACCCTGCCTTTCACCTCTACCAAGCTACTCTCATCCACAGACCTTCAGCCGTTATCAGGTGTGCTCCAGACTCTTCGGCACCACCTTCTTTAAGGTTATTTGATAAGGAATGTTAACCCTCTGCTATCTGTCGGGTTTACTTCCAGAGGCACCACGGTGGTCTGGGGTCATCCTCTGGGGCGGCCTGCTTTGGTCAGTGCTGTCAGCAAAAACGTTACGCCAGTAGTATATCCATTCGTCAGTGCTTATACTAATTAGTAAATCCAGCGAGGCCTACACTTGGTAGAAGGAGAAATTCGCTGAATGAGAATCTGGCAGCAGACTCGACAGCAGGCAGCAACTGCTCCACATCGCTGGAGCACAAAGCGACCGTAGAGTTTTTCTGAATCTGGCCCTTGTTTGGTCTCTCTGCATTGTCGAACCTGATCCTTCTGATTAGTTAAAGGCTTTAAAGAAAAATCGTATCCGTCCATCCACGCATTCATTCCCCTCTGCCTTTCTCATAATACAAGCAAACTCTGAATTAAATCGGTGCTTAACCCTTTTAGCTTTGTGTCTGTTGGGATGTGTATGACAGTACCGTGAAGAGAGCCGCTGTGGTCATAGTCAGTAATAAACCATATTGCACTGGCTGTGGGTGGTTTCAAGTCCGCTGTACTCAGTGGGTTGTACCTACTCAGGTTGGGGCTGGATCTGCCCCATATATGTGCTAAACCTTTCATCCTTGGATCTTTGGGAGGAGCTGGCTTGATTATATCCTTGCCATTTTACAAAGTTGGAATTTGTTAACTTTGGAGAGCTACGGTGCCTGCTACAGGTAACGTGGGAGACTTATGGCAGAGCTTCCCACCTCTTTGCCCCTCGCTCTGCCTGTCAGACTGTCAAAAACCACGTTGAATCAGCAAAGTCCTGAGAGCTGTCTTTTATGATCTTGGCTCATTTTTGGATGCCCTCTTCTTTTTCATTCAGACTGTTGGTCTCTTATTAATGAAACGTCAATTCCTACAGCCAGGAATTGAATTTGACTCTAATTAATTATGCAGCTTAGCTTTCTTGATCAGTAAGTACTGCTGCTTCAGCTCTGTTTAGCTTTCTCTCCATTTCCCATCACTATGATAGCCTTCCCCACACCCTTGTTCTGTTCGAGGGCAAGAGATATCGCAGCGTGATCTTGTTTTCGAAACGGGGGGTTTGTTTCCTGCAGCAGCGTTAAACTGCCGGACAGTTGTAAGAAGGCTAGATGCTGAAAGAGAATGACATAGCTTATCCCCAAGTTTCCCTTGTCCTGAAAGAGCTGTACAGCATACAGACAAAACGGGAGCTACTTTTATAACAAAAGAGGCCATGCTGCAGATAGCACGTGTCCGTGTTGATAGGCACGGTCTGAAAGAGTTCCCAAGGGAAGGGAAAAGGCCATACCATGTCTGTAGAAAAGCCAGGTCAGTTCTGCTGAGACTTCAGCTGTCTCCTTCAGACAAATTCCTTAATTTTTTATAGTGGGGAAAACCTAAGTAGTGAAGAGGGTTTTTTATAAGCATGTGGTGTAACCAAATAGGCAAGTGAATAGAAGCTGTTTCCTGGTTAGCATCAGTTATACGCAGCAAGTATTATTCTTTCACATGGAGTACTGTTCTCCCTGCACGCTGCTGTGCGACCGACGTCGCGTTTTATACCATCGGTGAAAAATGCTGCAGCGCTGTTCCTGGAAAATGGGATCACAACACTTTGCAAAGTGCTTTGCAATCTACTGATGAACTGCTCGGAGAGCTAGGTGGCAATATTAAAATGATAATTTCGCCATTTAAACAAAGACTGTGTTGTGCTGTGTGTTAGTCCAATGCCTCGCACACAAGTGGTGTGTAACTTGTTACCTGGGACCTAAACTATATGCACACCTGGCACCCTCTGGCCAATAAAAAAGTAATCGGAGCAGAGTACAGTGAAACCCCTAGCACGTGTCCTTGTGTGGAAGTTCCCCCCGCTGCAGCTGCAATTGCAAATGGTTGCCCCAGGAGTCCCCTGGAAGGGAGTCCTATGGTGCACACATCACATTGCCGTGCCCCAACAGGGATTCCCCTGCTTGAGATGCACCCCCTGGGTTGGCTGAGGGGAGGAGGAGGGCGACATCCAGGGCCATTGTCTCGCAGGAACAGACCTGTGAAGCCCCGGCAGCAGCTGCGGCCTGGCCCCCTGGGACGATGGCCCCTGTGATGTCTGCAGACACCAGGGAGGTGGATCAGCTGTGCTGGGACACTTCCCCGCGCAGCCGATCCCATTCCAAAGATATTTGTGTATCGCATTAGAGTCAAATTTCCAACAGACCAGCAAGGAAGCAGGTCTTAAAAGTGGGAGCTCTGGACTAAGATTAGCCTTCCACCACCTTTGGCAAGCTTTTGATTTTGGGATGGTATATAATATTCAACTTTGTCCCAATCGGGAGTCCAGTCCAACGTCATAGGAGTTTTGCTATTGAGTGAATAGGGATAGGCTCGGGAGTATAACCGAACTATGATTTAGTTAAAGAATGGATCTCGTCACTTATTTCGGTCAAGTTTTCACCTGTTGGTCACTTAGCCAAGGCCCTTTCTGTAATGCCTTAATACACGTGTCTGGACTGGATCGTGTCTGTGTGGCACAGCCTAGAGCAAGGGGAGAAGCGGGGGAAGACGTTCTGCGTAAGGGCGAGGGGCCCTTACAGAATTTGCCACCCCAGCTGGGAAGCACACAGATAAAGCGGAGGGGATAGGGAATTTCACACCGAGATCAATTAAATCCCCAAACGGCTTTTATGTCAGCCCAACAAAATCCATTTGCAGGGGTGAAGGGAGTTAAATGGTTCCAGCAAAAGACATTTTACTGTCTTTCACATCCCTTGTAGCTTATTGGAAATGTGAGACTTATGTCAGGGGCTATGCAATATTTCTTATTGGTGTGAAATGATATAAGTGTGTAGTCTGGGGATATGAAGAATGGATGTATGAGGACAGTCAGGTGGCTAATTTCACTAAGAGCATAACGTGCCTTCTTTGTCATTGCACATGAAAGGAGCACTGCAGGAAAAGGCTAGGGGACTGCTGCACTGGATGCCACGTCTTGTTCCATGTTAATGAAGCGTTTCAGAAAAGCTTCCCACACTTGTGTGAGAGGTGATAACTGCATGCAGCCCTAGAGTCTGTGTGAAATATAATACATACGTGAACGTGTTAATGAGGTGTCTACCTCCAAAATAGCAAGGAAATCATTTTGGTTTGGCTGGGGCGCTGCTGCAATCTGTCTCTTTCAGCGTTGCCGACACTTGCACACTTCCAGGCTATAGAGCATCTTACAAAGGAAAGGAAATATCGAGCAGCACCACGGTAGAGCCGTGGGGTTTATTTAGTGCCTTTTCCAGAACTCAGGGTGGATGGCTTCTAGAAATCTGATTAAATAATGCTTTGCACTGAAAGCACTTTCTACAGTTAAGGTGTTTTGTGAACATTAACACACATCCCAGAGGAAGAGACATTTGTCATCACCTCTGACTTGAGGAACTAAAGCAGAAAAGCAAAGTTTGTGTCGGAGGGGATTAAAGCTTGCCACCTCCGTGCTCGATCGATACTAGACTTACTTCCGTCTTCTCTGTAATACCCCAGTCCCTTCCTCACTCTTGCTGACTCGGGTTAAATAGCAGGGTGTCTCCAGCTACTCCAGATGCCTACTTTGCATTTGTTTAAATTTTTTTTGTTGTTCTGAATGTTGCACAAAGAGTAGCATGGCTTGTACATGGGGCCTTTGCGTATGTAAAGAATAGTTTTAGGATGAAAAGAAAAGTGAAACCGTTACTTGAAGACGCAGCTTTTTAAATCTCCGGGTTAATTTCCCTTCTTGAAAGGGAGAGGAGGGAAGTGTACCCCATCACCTTGGCTTTTCCGAATGCAAATCTTCGGTCTGGAAAAGAGGGGGATATAAAATAAAATAGTTCTCCAGTCTTCAGAAGACGCGTGGGGTTGGATCTATGACCGATGAAGCAGTGGCTTTGTCAGATGGATTCAGTCTTCCTCCTCCTTCAGTACCTGATTTTGTTTAAGAGCTATAACAGTATAATTTTCCCTTTTTTTCCACCAGGATGGCTTACTTGTGCTGCACTATGGTCTTGTGGTGTCTCCACAAGCCATAACGTAAAGCTGGCTAAAACATCGGAAGAAAGGATCAAAGGCGTGAAGCTTCCTCAGTGCTCTGTCTCACCAAAGAAGGTCACCTTGCTTGCTTCCTGTCACAGGAAATAAATGAACCACCACTAACTGCTGTACACTTGTAACTTGGTGTTTGACTTTACCACTGTAAAAATTGCAGCCGCTGTAAGAACAGCTCTAAATGTTGCAATGCTCGGTATTACATATGACTGTCTTTAAACTGTAGCCAGCTCAGGGAATGGAAAACATTCAGAGTTGCTGAATTGATTTGTAAATGTTATTTAAACCAACGTGAGCACACAGGGTTAACTTCCTTTCTCTGCTCTGAACTTAATCTTGGGTAGGTCCATGGCTATTTTATATCTCCACTGGACCTTGCATACCTCTGACACATATATGGCTGGAATGGTGCTCTCAGGGATGATTTTCACTTGACAGTGTCGTTTTTCTCTGGAATAGAGAGATTATTTCTTTAAATCGAATGTGCAGGAGCCGTCTTGATCTAGAAATAACAGGGGAGAAGCTTTTGTCAAATATGTAGATCAAAATGGGTAGTTAAACTCCACAGTCTTAAGCATTGATTTTTTTTTTCGTATTTATTATATCAGTAGCATTAGAACATAGAATTTCATTTTCTTGGCAAGAAATTTGATCTGCCCTAGGGCCAGAACTGGTAGTTGGTCGACTCGTATTAACTACCATGTAGCCACATGCTGAATGGTAGCACTCTTTTTTTGCTTCGAGAAACGTGGGTTGCCAGTAGGTTATTCTGTGCACATCAGGGACCAGCTGAGGGCCCTCTTTCCATCTGCATGCTCTCTGTAAAATAATTAAATGTGCAGCCTGCTTCTACTCGCGTTGAAGTCTAATAGCTGACTGGACTGGCAGCAGAGCTGAACCTTTCTCCTGATCGCACACCTTACACCTGCAACCAAAATGATAGCTCTCCCGTTCTCTTCCAAGGGCTGCCTTGTAACAGCTGCTCCTGCATTATAACGGAGACTGTTTTGGAAGCTGCTGGGTGCTGTAGTCAACCCCTCTTTCTCCACTACTTGTAAAGCTGTACAAAGGGTAGTAGGTAGCTTTAATTTTAATAGGCTGTAGCTCATGATCATCTAATGTTTCCAGGTTCTGTTTTTGTTGAAGACTCTCATCATTTCTCCTATAGGTATAAAGACCAGAGCTGTGCATGGTGTGGTTGCACTGCATGCTAGGCCTGTAAGTCTTTAATCAAATGTTTGTTTTGCCTGTGAAAGTATCCTCTTAAGGAAAGATCTTGTTTACCTAAAATCATATTTTTTGATGCTTCTGAAAATGTAACAAAAAATATTTTATAGCCAAGATTTCCAGTTTATTTTCAAGGTTTGTATAAAAGCAGTGCCGAAAATGGAGCAGAAAAGGGATGGTTTTGTAAACATTTTGTGCATTGTGTTGATAAGAGAGTATATATTGTAACAGTTAAATAAAGTTTTATTTTGGCCTATTTGAAACTTTAGTTCTCGTGTCCTAAGAAATGTATATGTCAACACGATCCATCCTCACCTTACCCGGGAATTGCAGTGGGTGAGATTGAAAAGGTTACAGGATGCTTTTTGCTTCGTCAGAATACACCAAATCCAACGGGGAAAATAGTTGGTGGTATTTAAAAATACCTGATTTGGGGTCCCCTGGAGGCTGCCATTTTTATGTGAATTCCAGTGAGATGTAGAGATAAGTATCTCATCTGTAGCTGCAGCCTCTGAGGACAAAACTGTTCCTAGCCACTCTTTCATCAATGTGTGCATCCGCTCATCGGCCCTGGTCCTTGTTCCATTTCCGCCGTGTAATATGTTTCTTATCAAGCCCGGGATGGATCATATTTCTGTCTCGCACCTATTGTCTCCCATCCCTTTGTTCCTCACACATTGACGTTTTCACAGACCTGGATTTTGGCTTCTGTTCTACCCAGGAGAGCACACAGTTCACCAGCAGACTCTCACTGTGCCTGAAGAAGGGAGTTTGTGCCCGAAAGCTTGCAAAGAACAATTTTTCCAACTTTTTAGTTGGTCTAATAAAAGATACCACATCTACCCAAAGAACCTTGTCTGCCTGTGTCCTTAGACCAACACGGCTACAACCAACAACCCCCTTGCTTACAGTTCTGACTAGGCACCGGTGCGCTGGTAAAGATTCTTTGGCTGATACTGATGGCCAGTAATTAACCAGCCATATTGGCTGATACCAATCCAATAGCCAATATGCAGCCTGGCAGCTTGGAGAGCAGCGTCCAGCCAGCAAGTCTATGTGGGGAAAGGGGCATGGGGGAGAGAAGGGGCGTGGGAGTGGGGCAGATCGAGGCCCCCATGGTGAGGGAAGGAGTGGGGCTGGGGCAGGCACTGCTGGGACAGGATGCAGGATGGAGCTGCAGATGGCTCATCTGGGAGGCATGGCTCCCACCACTGTGTGCACCCTGGAGAGGCATGGAGGGCATGTGTCCCCTGGATTTGTGCACAGGGCGAGGGCAGGCTGCCTGCTGCAAGCAGGGGCTGCACTCGGGGCAGGCAGTAGCGGTGCTGGGAGGGGTGGCTATGGGGTGGGCTATGGCCACCCCAAAATTTCCCGTAGCCACCCCTCCCAGCACCACCACCGCCCACCCCATGCAGCTGAACCCCCCCAACCCTGTGCAGCCAAAGCCCCCCACTGGGAAGAGGCTGGCACAGACCCTGGCCCCAAACAGCAGCGGGCAGCCCGCTCCCACCCCACACACAAATCCAGGGGCGGGGGGGCACCACCCCCCTCCCCATCCTCCTGGATGAGTGGCCCATGCCCTGCCCCGGGGTCCCATTCACCGCCCTGGCTGTGCAGCGCCTGCCCCTGCCCCACTCCCTCCTTCGCTGCAATCTGCCCCTTCCCCTCCCCCTCCGGCCTCCCTGGCAGAGCACTGCTGTGCAAGCTGCCCGGCTGCATTCCTGTAAATCAGCTATTGGATCGGTATCGGCTGGTACAGCTGGTTAATAATCGGCCATCGGTATCAGCCAAGACAATCGTTATCGGTACATCAGTGCAACACTTGGATGCTCATCTTGCTGGGGAGATCTGACCCCAGCTGACTTCCTACGCCTCGGGCAAAGGGCTAGACCCGGCGCTCTCTCGAGGCCCCTTTCAGCCGATAGCTACGAAATCCACCCCGAGTGATTACTTAACTCTGATACAGCACTTTGAAAGTGTATAATGCTGCACGAGGTAATCGATCGTTAATATAATAGTTGTCAATTGCTCACGACTGTATAAACGTGTGTTTTTTTTCATTTTGTGTCCTGGGCCAAACCAGCCAGATCAGTTTTAAATTGTGTGTGTCAGCTGAGCAGAGGTCAGTCGTCGAGTGGGCAAGCCTCCCACCTCCCGGTCCGGCAGCCATCGCAGAGGACAGTGCCGTTTTCGGCTGCCCTGTCCTCTACCGATACGAAACCACGTGCCTTTCTGTCCTCTAGTCTTCTCTTCAAGAGAAAAATAGCGGGCATAAAGGCGTCCAGTTTGGTGGGTTTTCCCCAGCAGAATGGCAGAGTTTCAAGAGAAAAACCCATGGCTTCAGGAGAAAAATAGCGGACCTAAAGGCATCCGGTTTGGTATCAGCAGACGGCGACAGGACTGTCCTCTACGATGGCCACCCCCGGACGCTTCCGCCTGGGGCATCGTGGACTCCCAAACCCGCGGCGGGCATCTGACACGCAAGCCCCAAGCATGGAGGTGTTAGTCTTCAGGTGAGGAAAGCCCAGGAGTAATCCCCCGTCGCCGCAAATAGCGTAGGCGAGACCTCGCGTGAGAGGCATCACAGACTCTCGAAGGGGACCCAACGGCATTCGAGGGCATCTCCCCTCCCACGTCAGTGAAACCACCTCAGCCAAAATCGTCGTTGCAGCGTCACCCTTGCTAGGTAAGTACACGGTAATTAGCCTCGTGTTATGGCAGTATTTTCTCACACCTGGTAGGGTTGGGGGAGGCGGGACACCTCCGGGCTCCCCCTCACAGCTCCCCAGCCGTGCCCCCCCCACCTCAGGAGGGGCGAGGCCGCACGAGGCTCACAGGCCTCACTGACCTTCTCAAGATGGCGGCGCAGGCCGAGGCTCCACGGTGCCGACTTACAAGATGGCGGCGGGGCTCCTTCGTAACGGCTGTTGTGCCCTTCCCAACATGGCGCCCGCTCGGCCGCCCCAAGATGGCGCCTCGCTTCAATCCTTTCTTTGACCTTTCCAATATGGCGCCAGCTCACCTTTCCTCCCTCCCCAGCATGGCGTCCATTCGCCCTCCCCAGCATGGCGCTTCAACTCCTCCCTTCTTTTGACCTCTCCAAGATGGCGCCCCTTCCCAGTTCCCATCCCGCCTCCCCAAGATGGCGTTGCGCTGTCTCCGCCCCGGCGCGGTGCAGGCTGGGCCCGCAGTGGGCAGCCTGCCCTAACCCCACACACGCATCCGAAAGACACATGTCCCCTGTGCCTCCCCCAGGGTGTGTGCAGTGGCAGGAGCCGTGCTCCCCATACGAGCCACCCGCAGCTTTGTCCCCCACCCCACCCTGGCTGGGCAGTGCCTACCCCAGCCCCACTCCCTCTCTCACCGTGGGGGCCTCGATCTGCACACACCCCCCCTCCCCCGCCATACCCCTTCTGCCCATAGACTTACCAGCCAGATGCTGCTCTCCGAGCTGCCCGGCTGCATTCCCGGCCATGTGCATGAGTGCGGCTACACACATGCACGCAGCATTTATCAGTGATATTATCAGCTATGCTGGCCAAAAAAAGCTGATTGCCAATAATGTCAATTTTCCTTTTATCAGTGCCGATCCGATATGGACCGATGTATCGGTGCACATCTGGTTCTGACATTCCTGACTAGATCATTCTGGCTTCATTATTCTGATGATACTGCTGCTTCCTTTTTCCTCGCTGCTTAATTGATTTTTTTCCATACGTAATACTGTGAAGAAATGACTACTTGAAAGTATTTGTGTTACATTGGTAATCTGCATTTGATCCTTGTATTCCCATGCCTCTAGAAGGACTGATTTTTAAAGATTAATGGCCATATGAAAACCTAGGCTAATTCAAATTACTTTTGTTCCAGAATGTCAATCTTTATAATAGACCATTTGCATCTGTGGGAAGTCATTTGGATGCCATAAAATTAGAGCGCTTAGCACTGATCGCTGCCTTCTCAGTGAAGAAACCTCTCCCTATTTGTGACAGAAGTCTGTTCCTCTTTAAAAAGGAATTCACTTTGATCACAGTTTGGATAATCCATTTTGCCCGCTTAACTCACTAGACGGAAGGAGCAGTAACCGCAATCACAGCTTTCTGCCCTGTCTTGGAAGAAAGCTTGTCCACGCGGTGAACCATGTGGCAGCTACCACGCTAAGGGGTAGGCGGTCAAGGCCTTGTTTGAAGAAAGGAGGAAGCTTGAGCATGTAGTTGTTGCTGCTGTTCTTGACATGTGTTGCATGGCCAATGACTTTCCACACCTGCCATTACCCCTCTTTTGGTTTTCTACTGCTTTGCCCCCTTTCCCCTTCCTTGGGTCAGCCCATTTTTTTTCTGGAGAAGGGCTGAGTGTAATCCTGGTCCTGACATGTGATATGCTTTCAATGCATTGCTGTCCATCCTCTGTCAAACCACTTACCAAGTTCTGTGGGCACCCTGGCATGTACGGTAGGACGACACTTGCTGAGTGCCAGCCTGATCTGTGGGCTGTTCAGTTTTCTGCATGAGGGTAATTGGTGCTGCTTGTTTTGGGGGTGAAGGGATGTTGACCAGTCCTCTACATTTCCTGTTTATTTTGCTTCATTTCCTATTTTATTGGTCCAGTTTTTGCCTTGGATTCTTTCCAGTCACTTTTGCTCCTGCTGATGGAAGAGCCATGGTACCAAAATCCCTCTGGAGATGCATCACCCTCCCACTCTTGAAGGCAAAGAGCAAAGCTTGTTCCGCGGCATAGTTGGATGCTTTCTCCTTTAACAAAATCGCTATCTCCTTTTTTCCCTCTTTCCCCAGCTCCTTCCATGTCTATGTGGCTAATAAATCCTATATAGTCTTAATCTCCTTGCAGTATGGGATGAATCTCTTTCAAGTGGTTCTTGTGACATGGGCTTGCAGAATCTCTCAATGGGTTCAAAAGGTAGGATTTATATTAAAATAAAATGAAAAGGAAACATGGCAACAAACAGTCACTTCTAACCCGATGAGCTTTGTCAGTCATGTTGACGATTTCTCTGCAGTCATCCTCATTGCTCTGCTCTTCATCCATATTCTGTGCTATTAGGAGAAAAGCGCAGGAGTGTGTGAACATGGGCAGTTAAATCCTTTAATCCAAAAAGGCTGGCAAATAGCTACCCTAACCAAATGTTCTCTAGGCGTCCGATACTACATAAAGCTTACCTTTTTTGCAGCAGTGCCAGACTGCAACACACCTAAGCCAACAGGACCTTTGGCACTTTGTTCTGCAGGCAGCAAATAAATCATTAAATGTTGTTGATGCTAAACTCAAACTTTCTAGCACTGCTCTGCGCCAGGGGTTTCAGTCCAGTGCCTCTTGCCTCTGGCCTGTGATTTATGTTACTGCATCCTAA